TTGTATCTTAGGTCATTCTTTCTTGCAGTCTAAACACCCTCAGTTCAGACCAAATTTGTGATCTTTTATAGACAGATTCCCATCGCAGGTACTCTCCTTTGGATGTGGTCTAGTCCATTACTTTTCCCCTTAAATTCTAGAATATAATTCTTCAGCCTGGGTGTGGCCAGTGCAGCATAGCAGCTCTCTCTTTCCCATACCTGCTCATTCTATTCTCATTAATACATCTCATAGGTCTCGTTCTTCCCACAGCCACAATGCATTGACCTGCACTGACCTTCTGTCGTAAATGCTGTTCGAACACGTTTGTCAAAGCAATTGGCAAAGTGCACATTTGTTCCTGTGCTTAATCTGCCATCTCAAAGGCTATCTGGGTTTTCCGTAATGAAGTAACAAATGCTAATGTAGGCACAATGGACCGATGTGATTGCCCAGAGACAAAATCCAGGTGACGGAAGCTAGTTGTACACACACTGAACTATCCCTAGTTGCTCTTTCAAACACGTCAGCGGTTAGGGAAGGAAAGACTCTCCTGGTGACATTCCACCAAATAACAGTCACAAAAGACATACCTGCAGCAACAATGATGATATCTGCCAGCTGCGTGTGGATCTTCAGTTGTTCCTTGGGAGTATATCTGTGAGTTATGGTCACAGTTGCATCACCTGAAATGCAGAATTTCCATTAATGATTTACTTTTCAAATGATTTAGCTTTTTCAAATTTTGCAAATGCTGTAAATATGGAAGAGTTTATTAAGAGTAGAAAAGTCGTTTTGACATGACCAAATCACTTTGAGAGCAAAGGTTAGATGAGCAAATCTAAGTAAACCAAAATATTGGACCCTTCAAGTAAATGCATGGACAGTCAGGTGAGGCCAAGTTAGAAGACGCTGTGATAATGCAGTTCTAAGGACAACTTAGAAATCAGCTAGAGGAATGTGGAAAATCTGTGTAGTGAAGTCTCTAGAACACAAAGAGAAATAACACTGGGGAATTACTAATAGAAAGATGGACCACGTTCTCAGAAAGATTCAGTACCCTGAAGACGACTGTAGTGCCAGTAGTCGAGGCAGAGGAGGTTCGTTCAGGATTTGGACAGAACAGAGAACAACTGAGCCAAAGGCTGCCATGACAGCCACCTTCATCCAGCCTGTTATGGTCAGCAGGCATGGGGACAGTCACCCTCATCCAGTCCCTGGTGGCCAGCAAGCATGGGGACAGCCACCCTCATCCAGCCCCTGGTGGCCAGCA